ACAATTGTGCCGGGATCCACCCAGCTGCGTGAGTGACAGCTGGCTCTGCCTATCTAAAGGCAGAGCCAGCTGTACCCGCCCCCCCCCCCGTCTGTCCCGCCAGTCAGCGCTGGCGGATCGGAGCGGGGAGGGGGGAATCCAGCCCCTCCCCTGTCACGGCAGAGAGCCGTGACAGGATCGAGAGGTGAGCGAACGACGGTATGTGTTCGCTCACCTCCCGATCTACTGAGCCGACCTGTGACAGTCTCATTGTCACAGGTCGGCTAGAACTATGAGGTGAGTAGAAATCACTCACCTCATAGTTCTCCTATAAACTCAAAATCCTTATATTCAGTAAATATGCTTGGCGTGTAATGGGGACTGAACTATCCCAGTCTGAATCCTTTACTATTTTCCTAAGTACTATATGTGCACACGAGCAGAATGTATAAGGGACATTTGCTGGTGACTTTTATTGAGACTGGGGCTCTTCTTTAAAGCTGAACTATTCTTCCATCTTGGAACCTTGCCTTGGAAACACACAAATGGGTAAGATTAGTTTAATGAGTTTGCCTAACATTTAATGGACATGAGCAAAAGCCTCCTGGTTAATGAGTCCTGGGAGACTAATCAGTATTTTTTTTAGAAAATGTAGTCACAGAAACATATATAAGGCCCACATCCATATACAGAGCTGTCAACATCTGTCACAATTGCAGATAGGAATTGCAGGTAAATGGTTTTACTCCAGATTGTCATAATTATCAGTGCTCATAGATCCTCCAAATTTCATTTATTCTTGGCACATCAATACATAGGTAACCACTGATGAGTTTCTGCCTTGCATGACCTTAGTCATACCTACCACTGATGAGTGTCTGCCTTGCATGGCCTTAGTCATACCTACCACTGATGAGTGTCTGCCTTGCATGGCCTTAGTCACAGCTACCACTGATGAGTTTCTGCCTTGCATGACCTTAGTCATAGCTACCACTGATGAGTGTCTGCCTTGCATGGCCTTAGTCATAGCTACCACTGATGAGTTTCTGACTTGCATGGCCTTAGTCATAGCTACCACTGATGAGTTTCTGCCTTGCATGGCCTTAGTCAATAGTTTAATGAGTTTGCCTAACATTTAATGGACATGAGCAAAAGCCTCCTGGTTAATGAGTCCTGGGAGACTAATCAGTATTTTTTTTAGAAAATGTAGTCACAGAAACATATATAAGGCCCACATCCATATACAGAGCTGTCAACATCTGTCACAATTGCAGATAGGAATTGCAGGTAAATGGTTTTACTCCAGATTGTCATAATTATCAGTGCTCATAGATCCTCCAAATTTCATTTATTCTTGGCACATCAATACATAGGTAACCACTGATGAGTTTCTGCCTTGCATGACCTTAGTCATACCTACCACTGATGAGTGTCTGCCTTGCATGGCCTTAGTCATACCTACCACTGATGAGTGTCTGCCTTGCATGACCTTAGTCATACCTACCACTGATGAGTGTCTGCCTTGCATGGCCTTAGTCATAGCTACCACTGATGAGTTTCTGCCTTGCATGGCCTTAGTCATAGCTACCTCTTAAGAGTTTCTGCCTTGCATGACCTTAGTCATAGCTACCACTGATGAGTTTCTGCCTTGCATGGCCTTAGTCATAGCTACCACTGATGAGTTTCTGCCTTGAATGACCTTAGGCAACCACTGACACATTTCTGACTTGAATGGCCTCAGTTATAGCTATGACTATGTGTTGCTGTATCAGCAATACATGAAACTTGGAGGCTCTATGAGTGCCAGTAATTACTTTTGGCCTACATGGTGGGGGAGAAAGGACTTCTATGCACCAAATGTGCTAAGTGGATCATTTACCAAGGGTGAGCTGTGCTGTTTTACCAGTTGATGTTACTAATTACGTTGCAGCTGATTGTTGTACTGTGTTAAGGTGCCCATACACCATAAAAATGTTGGCCGATTTTCGTATGTGATCGTGTTTTCGTCCGATATTCGTAAGGTTGATGGGCGGTGTACAACCACAAATCAACTTTTAACTAACCAGCAGGTTAGAAAAATTTGGTCGATCGTACGATTCTCGCAAGGTTTGGTGGCGTTTCCGTACGTCAAAATTCGTACAATTTACACTGCTCATGCGCAGACAAAAAAAATGTGCAGTCGATTACCACAATTCGTCCAGGTGCTTTCTTCTAATTACCGCTGATCCAACCTTGCGGTAATCGGGGCAGGATGGGGCCGCCATACGAAAATCGTACCACGGTTCAATCATCGGACGGAAAGTGTTGTCCGATGATCGCAAGGTTATGGATAGCTTCAGGCATTGAAAGAAAAACTGGGAAAAAAAGGAAGAGCAGCAAAGAGAAGGGAAACAACCATGGATTACAGTAAGGCGCACATTACAGTATTGTTTTATGTTAAAAAATCTGAGGGTTTCATGTCACTTTAATGTCTGTAGAACCACCTTTATCAGCATAAAAATGAAGTCTGTAGAACCACCTTTATCAGCATAAAAATGAAGTCATCACTTTCTGTATGACTATCAGTCTCTGGGCCACAATTCCTCCACAACAATGTCACTCTTCATTATAATGTTGCTTCACTTCACTGAGGTGCATAGCTCTCTTAGGTCTCGTTCACACCAAGGCGTATTGCATATGCGCGTCTGTCGCACGTTTTTTTTACCGCGATGCGCGGTAAAAAAAGTCGCGCGACAAACGCGCGTTTCCGAAGGCTACTTGGCTGTATCCCAATGGAAACGTGCAACAAAACGGCCCAAAGTAGTACATGTACCTTTTCAGGCGTGGGACGTTTTGTAGCACGTTAGGGACGGGCGGAAATACGCCAAGGTGTGAACGAGACCATTGAATACAATGGGATTTATATTTTTGAGCATTTTGTAGAGCGTTCGCCGAGTGTAGAACGCGCTACAAAACGTTCAGGTGTGAACGAGGGCTTAAGGTCCCACGACACCATTTCAGTTGGTTTGAGGTCTAGACTTTGGGCCATTGCAACACCTTGATTCATTTCTTTTTTAGCCATTCTGTTTTAGATTTGCTGGTGTACTTGGGATCATTGCCATTTTGCATGACCCAACTTTAACAATCGGACAGATGGCCTAGAATCTGACTCTAGCATACTTTGAGTCAACTATGGACTCTTCTGAATACCAATGACTGCAAGGTGCCCAGGTCCTGTGACTACTAAGCAAGCCCTAATCATCAGCCCTCCACCGACATGACTGACAGCTGGTATGGGGTGTTTGTGCTGATATGCTGTGTTTGGTTTTCACCAAACGTGGCACTGCGCATTATGGTCAAACATCTCCACTATAATCTCGCCCGTCCAAAGGAAATTGTTCCAGAACTCAGGTTTGCAAAGTTGCATCTGAACGAACAAACCACAAAACATGTTGACTTTTTTTTTGGGGGGAACTTTGTTTTCTAATTGTACTTTCATGAACTGTAACATGCAAATGAGGCCTGTAGAGCCTGATGATTGAACTCTTTGGTTGTTTTGTAAATTCTCTGAGCATTGCACGGTCTGACCTTGGGGTGCATTTTCTGGGACATCCCCTCCTGAGAGGACGGTCAACCATCTTGAATGTTTTCCACTTGTGAATATTCTTCCTCATTGTAGAATGATGGGCTTTACATTGTTTAGGAATGGCTGTATACCCCATTCCAGATTGATGGGCAGCAACAATTGCTTCTTTGAGATAATTGCTGATGACCTGTCTGGCATTGTGGTATCACACACCTGAATGATCCAGACCAGCAAGCTGCTAAAACTTTATCTTTTATAGAGGTGGGGACACATGCTGATGATCCATTAATTAGGGGCATTTTATTAGTAGCTGCTACTGAGACTCTTAATTCCTGTGGAAGCAGTAAAGGTGCCCATACACTGCACGATTCTCATACGATCCTACGAGAATCGTGCAGTGTGAATGAAGACGTGCGACCGTTTCTACTGTACGGTCGCACGTCTTTTGTCTAAGGAGCACGCTAGAAAACGCTTGAACGGTGCTCGGGAGACAAATGCCGGACGGGCCGGTGTGCGCACGCGCACACTGCCTGGTCAGCATTGCGGTCATCGGAAGCCCGCCCCTCAGGGGGGGCGGGCTAGCGATGATCGAGAGTACGATCTGCCTGTCAGAGATGGGCAGATCGTACGCTTTTTTAATCACTTTACAACCATCGCAAAAGACTAAGGTCTTGCGATGGTTGTACAGTGTATGGCCACCTTCAGGGTGTACTTAGCTTTTCACAAAAAAAAAAAAAGCTTCTCCAGTTTGGCTTTATGTTTGTAAAATAAATAATGCCATGGTGTGATATGTCATGAGGAGTTGTACATCTGAAGAAGTTGTATTTATCTAATTGTAAGACCTGCTAAGGACCAGACAATTGTGGTTTTTATTATACACACACACACGGAGTAGATGCAGTTGAGGGCCTGCACAAATCAGCTTACAATAAAGGATGCCAGAGCAATAAGGAAGTCGTTGTTGATGGCTTCACATGATGGAGCTTGGTTGCTTTGAATATTTGGGGTAGTCAGGTGGACTAATTGTAGGCCACTGTAAGAACTGATAATGCAATTTGGGGAATATTTTGTGGATGAATGTCAAATATATAGAAATACAAAAATAAAAATATATATGAGGGACATGATGAGTTGTCTAATGTTTTGAAGGCAAAGCATTGAAAGGGAAATGGGGGCGGTGTCAGACCTTTACAGCAAGACCATTGCTTCCCCCAAAAGACCAAAGTCTGTCCCCCTGCCAGCATGCTGCAGAGGAAGAGACTGTTCTACTCAGGCTGTTTCTGCTTTCTAAAGAAAACCAACTGTAAGACTTTGCACACCTATTGTTTTCATGCACCAGAACTGTATGCAGCTGACTTAAACTTCCGGTTCAGTCGGGTTTTAAAGATCAAATGGGCAGATTGCTATGACTACTTATACAGCTTAAAATTGTTCTGTCAGTTTTTTTTCTTCACAGATGGCACATCAGAAAAATCTAACACTCAAAGATGAAATCCTGATTGAGGGATTCGAGAACCTCAGTGACTACAGAATCCCTCTCTTCCTTCTCTTGCTGATCATTTACACATTAACTTGCATTGAGAACATCCTGATAATATTCTTAGTATGTATAAGCCCTCGTCTCCATTGTCCCATGTACATCCTGATCGGGAATTTGCTCTTCTGCGAATTCCTCTATACAACAGACCTGGTGCCCCTGATACTGCAACACATGCTATTGGGAAGAGGGGTCATCTCCCGCCTTGGCTGTTCTATCCAGTTAAGTGTATCTGGATGTGTAACGATCGTTGAGACTTTGCTGCTCACTCTGATGTCATACGACAGATATTTGGCTATTTGTAAGCCTCTCAGGTATTCAGTCCTCATACACAATAGACTCTGCTTTTATGTGGTAACTGGATTTTGGGTAATTACATTGGCATTTATCACAGTTGTATTTTACTTTGTAATAAATCTTCAATTCTGTGGCCCTCTGACCATCGACCATTTTTACTGTGACTTCACCCCTTATGTTTCTCTTGCATGCTCTGATATAGTGCCTATTGTTTTATTAGGCCTTGTGATCAGCATTGCATTAACCATTTTACCTTTCTTTTTGATTGTTCTGTCCTACCTATTCATCATATTCACAATTCTCAGGATACAGACGTCGGAGGGAAGGCAGAAAACCTTCTCCACCTGCAGCTCCCACCTCCTAGTGGTGACTATATATTTCATAGCACTTTTCTGCTTGTATGTGATTCCGAGGAGTAGCCGTTATCTCGATTTCTACAAAGGGTTGTCCTTCACATACTTTTCGGTGACTCCGATGGTAAACCCCATCATTTATACATTGAGGAATCAGGAGATTCATAAAGCTCTGGAGGCGGCAATTACTAAAATGAAAACTATTTATTGTTAAGATACAACAAATAAACGTGTATTATATTGTATAGAAACAATAGAAACATATTAATTGTCAGAAATTGCTAAATCATGGAAGACACCTTCCCTCAATATTCATAATGTAAAGAATTGTGTCTCATGGGTCATGACAAATGGAAAGTGGGTGGCTAAGCTCACTTAATCACCTTACAACCACCGTTATGCGATGGTTGTAAGGTGATTAAGATTTCATACAATCTGCCCATCTTGGACAGGCAGATTGTACTTCTTCTGAGGGGAGGGCTTCCGATGATTGCAATGCTAAGCGGGCAATGTGTGCTTGCGCACACCGGCCTGTGCATCATTCATCTTCCGAGCACGCCACCAACCCGCCGAAAATAGTACAGTTTTCGGCAGGTTTTCCAGCATGCTCAGAAAGATGAAAATCATGCGACCTTACAGTAGAAGCGGTCGCACGCTGACCATAAACCTTCATCATACGATCGCGGGATCACCCACAACTATCGTACGATAATCGGCAGGTATATGGGCACCTTAACACTATGACTAAATTTGATGTTTAGTCCCCTTGGGTCCAGCAGTATTTGTCCCCTCAATTTGATCCACAGTTGCTCTCTATATGACTCACTTCCCTAACATCCCCTCGGACACCCCTTCTCCCTGGCCACCCACTCGGACTACCCTTCTTTTGTTTTCCTTTCTGCACTTTTGCTTTGTTTCCTTCCCACCTTCTCTTTTTCCTTGTTTTGTCACTTTACATTACTCAATATTGCAGGATATCTACATTTTGTTCTGGAACTGTGTGGACTTGGACCCTCCCCTTCCGAACGCCTGAGTGACCTCATGCAATTTGTTACTTGCATATGGTGTCTGTGTTGTTGTTTCTGTACTGGTTGAACTTTTTCCAATAAAAAAACATTATGTAAAAAAAGTAATTAAAATATATGAATTGTCTAAAATAGGGGGAGGGGCATTAATGTGGCATATGAGGTTTAATGTCGATAAGCTATGTAACTATGTGGTTCTGCAACCTAAACAACATTTACAGGGATAGAATCCAACTCCTTCAAAAGAAAGAAGTGATTTGTTTTGGTGGATCAATAACGTTTCTGGATAGTGTGTCCCTCAGAGTGGGCGCCTTCCTATAGATAATTTTAGGTTTAGGTTTAGATGGGAGTATAGAGCCGAGTGTTACTATTCTGGATTTTTTGGTTGTTTGATACATTTTAATTCAAGATATTATTTATTGACGTTTTTCACATATCCACATACTTTCTTCTTATAACACTGACTAACCATCAACTTAACCTTTTGTAGGCTGTGTTAACATACAGCTCCCCTCACCCATTCATTTTACTTGAACACCTAATTCCATTCAACACATTTAGTACTTAATGTAATCACTGATTACACAATTATACCTTTAATGAATCTAACCTCTAGCGCTTTGTTACCACATTTTCATGTATCAAGTTGTATCAACCTATGTACACATGTGTGAGCTGATGACTTGAATTGGTTTAGCAAACATTTAATTGACAGTAACACAAGCGTCAAGATTAATGAGCCCAATGGGAATTATCAGCGGTTTAGAATACGTAAACACGGACATGTATATAAAACCAGCATGACCTCTTATTACATGTACGGGGGCCTCCAACATTTGCTACACTTACACAGAAGAATCCCAGGTATATCATTTTACCCCGACAATCTATATTACATGATGGCAGAGCATTGTATTCCATCATCAGAAGGATTCCCACCTAAGATTCATCTTCACTCATGCAGGTGTATTGTTTTGACCCATGTAACTCTGTTGTGATGGATGCATGGAGGAGGTCATGGTACATGAGACAATGCACATGATTTACACAGCTACACATACAAGAGGCAAATGTAACACCCCATTCACACACTTTTTGCCGCAGAATTGCAAATATTTCCGCGCTGTATCGCTCTATGTAGCTTGCCCAATGCATTTCAATTGAGCTGTTCACATCTCACAGCTCAATGTAGCCTATAGCTCGTCGTTGTAGCTTGTCGCTCGTACATGACCCTTGTTTGCGTGTATGTTGCGCAATTCAGCTACAATAGACAACATTGTGCATTACCGGCGATATTGCGCGTTTCGTGGCGCGATATCACGCCACAGAAGGGTCACTTTTGCACTGGAAAAATGAAAGAAAATAATGATGACACATCAAGATCGCTGTTGATTGGTTACAGCCCAATGTAGCAGCAATGAAGTCCCGACCCAAAAACATCGCTATGTAAAAGTTCATTGTGATAACTGCAGGTTGGTTGGATTCCAATAGCTCTCGTAAAGATTGTGATAACACTTCCACCAAGTTCAGATATGATACTCCAATCCAGCAAATTCACTGTACAGATTGGATATAGACCCTATGGTCACTGATTATCTTAGCTCCACATGAATAACCCCATGAATGCAATGCCAGAAACGTGGAGAAGGTGCAACATTCTTACCAGCCCAAATGGGTGAACATATCATTTTTCTCCTCATACAAATAAGTTGTCTGTCCATTTGCATGGGAGTGGACAGATGATAATATATATATATATAGTAGTGACGTTGGGGAGGTTTAGCACAAATGGCGAGTGCTCAAAGACCAGTCTCAAAGCCACGTTAGCATAAAACAAAATAGTCTTTTATTGTTTCCAGAACAGAAAGTAGCTTTTCGGCAGCAAAACAACATGTAGTCAATAACTGTATAACCATGTCTCACCAACTCAGCATGGTAACATATACTGCATGTGACTCTTCCACACATGCCTTGTGTGTCTAGGCTCACTAAGCCTCCTTGGCTGATTCCCTGGCGCCTCCAAAACATACACAGCCTCCTGGCTTCACTCTGGCTTCTGGGTGGAGTCCGCCTGACTCCTGGACACAACCTGTCCCTCTTCCCAGCAGGAGCCCAGAACCTTACCAGTTAACAGTAAGAGTTTTGCAAGTGCAACCTATCTTCATTGTCATACGGTCCATGCTCCTTGAGGTTCATTTGCTAAAGGCAAATAGGCTGTTCACTTTGCATGGGGATTTGCATTTTTTTTTATTTTTTTTTACCCACCAAACCTTCAATTTTATTACTTAAAAACATTTTACAATTACATTAATTCTTTATTGGACATCAGCTTAATGATACAATCCACTGAACAAGAAAGGGCATCCGCCCAACATATAGCATTAACATTGACTAGGACATCACATACATATCCGAGCACAGGATAAGATACAGTCAGCTAACAGAAGTGATACATTACAATAGATAGGATCATCGTGCTACACATTAGAACAGAAATGTTTTTAAATTTTTTTTTAAAAACCCCTATCTCATGAACATATCATCATAGATGAACACGTCTACCATATCCTCCACCACTTTCTATTACTCTAGTCACGAAAACAGGAGTTACAGCATGACGCGTGTTCGTGGTGTAGGAGTGCATCCCCAGGCCATTCACCTCAGTAGGGATGCAAGCATCCACTCGCATTCATTCACTAGCACAAGCCTTGAAGGCCCTTTGGAGAGGGGGAAGTGATCATCTCGCTCCGTTGGCGGGGAGAGAAAAAGGCAAAAGAAAGAGAGAAAGGACAAAGGGGGAAAAAGAAAAAGAAAGGGGGGGCAAGAGTAGAAACATAGGCAAGGGGATAGGGGTATGCATGTATTCAGGGAGGGGGGGATTTGCATTTTGCATGGGAAGTTTCTTTTAGCTTGGTGATGAATGTGGATTTTGCAAAGGAAGTTTCCCTTAGCTTGGTGATGAATGGGACATTTGCACTTTGTACAGGAAGTTTCCTTTAGCTTGTTGATGAATGTGGAATTTTCACAGGAAGTTTCCCTTAGCTCGGTGAATGTGGTTAAACTTCACTATGCAAAAAAAACAAACTAATTCACGTGCAAGGAAAATGATACAAACTGAATTTTGGCTTGCACCTGATTGGATGGTGGAATTCAGCAGAGCTTCGCTCATTCAGTAAACTATGGGGGGGGGGGGGGGTTTCCCCTTTAACATGCACAGCCTATTTGCCTTAAGTACATCAACCCCAATGTGTCTGGCTACATTGGAGCTTCACAGCATTATTGGGAGAGAGGTGGAAAGAGCTGCAGGCTGTGAGAGAGCATTAGTACTCTGAGATGTTGCTGTTCAACATGCTAGAATAACACGGGCTGAGCAGAGAGGAGCGTCTTTAGCGATACATCATATTAAAGCCTCAAGATATCTGAAAATGGAAGACGTATTTGTACAACAAGAAAATAGGATATTTTCACCTCTGTGAGTGTTGATGGTTTTACCTGAAAAGTGAAGAAGGTTCTTTTTTCCAGTATGTGGAGCTACTGATCTGTGTGTTCCATATTGGATCGGCACAGTGCATTTGTTAGATTGGAGTGTTGTATCTTACCTGGAGCCCGGTGAGCACATTACACTCTTCCTGATTCCTATTGGTGGCCCCATATTGCAGGAAGACACATCTCCTCTCATATTAGATCGATTCACCATCATGTAGATGAGCTTGAGTGTCTTCCTTCTAATGTATTAGCTTCACATTGCAAATTGGAGCTGAAATGCCATCTTACTTTCAAATGCATTATCACGGCCTCATCTGCCCCTGTGGTCTTTTCATTAACTTGCAGAATTATTCACAGAAGTGTGAAGGGTTTGGAGAAGGCAGAAGTGAACACTCAAGTCCAAACTAGTTGATTTGGAAAACAAATCTCCAATTCAGCTCACTTTCCAGTGCAGCTATTGTGTTCACTTCCCCTGCCTTCTCCAAACTCTTTACCCTTTAGTGTATAATCCTGTTGGTCAACATTTAATACCGAGAGAAAAAACAGACTCCATAGAGGAGCAGAGGTCGGTCTTCAGTCTGTTTTCCCCTTAGGCTGTGTCTGTTGGTGGAGGGGCAGCATCCTCACATTGGGAGAATGTGTTCCAATAAATGGGCATGCGTGTGTGCTGGGGCCAATGGATCGTGAGGTAGGCGATCCCAAT